TAGTAGTAGTGGTAGTAGTAGTAGTAGTAGTCCGCCCGTAAGACAGGCTGGTGGGGGAATAGACAATTCTGAGTGTTGCGACACTGTATTCCCGCCAAAGTTCAATTTGGTACTTTGCAGACTTCCGTATCCTACGGACAGTGTAATGGTACTACTTCCGCGGGGGTCTTGTTTTTTGTGCGGTGGTTAGGACTCAGACATCCCCCCCCCCTTGCCTACAGGATGAGCTCTGCACTAACAACATGCATGACGACCGATCCGAAAGACCTCTTTTCTCGACACGCCTATGAGATATAAAAATCTGAGTCTCCATTGGCTAATCAAGACCGCCGAATCTCATGACAAAAACTTACCCAGGCTTCCGAAGTCTCAGGTAAGTTGGCTACCTTTCCTTAGACCGACTGACAAAACGTTTTTGGTAATCGGTGATTGGGGAAATTAGATATTAACAGTCCATCGGTGACGCAAATTCTTCATAGCTGTTTCATGCAGTGACAAGAATTTGGCGACACGTGCCTGGAATCTTGGCTAATACCCTTGTTATGTTATGGAAAATAAATTTCAGCGGAGGACACGCACGAATACTGTGAGTAGTTTGGCCATAATTTAAACACAGGCACTATCTAAAGACACAGACACAGCAGCCGGGTGTTACGCTGCATGCGTCGGGACCAATGCCAGACTAACGTACGTACCGGTGAAAGGGCACTTAGTCCGCAGTATTGTTTCCGCATGCTACTATCAACCAACCGGCATGATAGAGACCTGCCTATTTTCGCAGACTGCAGTGGCTGGACGGAGCTAGGGGACCCTTCGGAAAGCCACAGAATGTGCCGCTCCGGCCTTGGTTTTCGATTTGGCAGCGATAGAAAATGGTCGTGCAATTTCTCAAACATTGTTAGTCTGCTATTTAAGTAATAGCCGTGCAGTTATCGAAATTTACCACACTTGAGTCAGTTCAAGGTCCCTTGGCTAAGCACATGGTGGCAGGTGGCTTTCTCATGTCGAAAGTGGCAGTACCTACGGGTCCGACTGTGTTCTGGTCTATGCACGCCCGAAAGCTCACATCTTTGCCCGAAATGCCTCATGCATAACACCTTGGTGTTGTAAAATCACGGCGACTCAACGGGGTCAACGCAAAAAAAACACGGGAATACGGTGTCGCTACGGTCCAAGTCGAAGGAAAAGACAGTGGTAAGCTGTCACTACTAAAGTCTGGTTTTTTACTCGGCGTCACCACGACAGTTATGTCAGCGTAAAGACCTTGGAGTTGTTTGCCCAAGTAACCTCACCTAGATTTCACAACGCTTATTCCATCCACCAGTCAAGAACGTTCTTAAGCCGAAGTGGAGAGCATGCAGCTGGCCCCAGGCCCCGATGACAGTCGAAAACTATCAACTTATTTGCCTAATTATTGGTGTCTCCCGTGCTGAATATATGCTCGTGATATCAATGACGGTTTTATTGTTGAGAAATTAACCAAGGTCGTGTGTTGGTGTTAGCACCTTGAGCACCTTCTCAATCTCAATTACCGATTTGCCACCTCTCTGTGGCGGAGTTTTATCCATGCAGTATCGTGTGATCCTCTTCAAGAAAAAGTCATAGATAAGATACAGACTGAAAAAAAAACAGGACGTCCGAGTGGGGCGGCCTTTTGTCCAAGCCCACAAGTTTCATGTTGGTACTCTGGAGTCCCGAAATTATGAAGTGAGTAGGAGAGCATGTGGTGTAGAGTACGTTCTTAACGACTGCGACGACTAAACTTACATTCGTCCCCATGGAAGAAAGAAGACAGCGCAGTATTGCTGCAAAGGTCCTTGTCATTGTAATTGCACCGAAAACGGGCCACGCGGTAGGTGAGCTGGACCAACGCTGGGGGCCATGTCAGATTGTAGCAGGCGTTATCGGAATGCACACCATAACAAATGCCAATATTTCGGGGTGCGGTAGCAGACTCGGCTGCTGGCAGACGTCGCGCACAATGAAACCCCTGCGACCCTCCCCACTGTTGTTGGTTAAAATCCTGGTCATTTTCTGTGTGCCAGGGGGCGTAGTGGGGCGCCATCCACCTGCGTCCTCTCCCGCCTCCGGTCTTCTTGACTCTGTCTTAAACCGGGCCCAGGTGGTGGAGGAAGAGAGAGTGCGGCAGATGCAGCGTAAGGCTACTATCACTGTAGACTAACGCGCAAGTCTTCGTGCCAGCACCATCCTGCTGTGGAATACACGGTGGGCATCATCGGAATGGACGGTCGAAATGTCGTTAGGTTACGGCAACGAAGGCCGAACCATTAGCAACCGACGGCCGTCTGTTTTGTTAACATCACTATAGCGTCCGGTCCCATTCGCTGTGAGTCATCGCCATGGTCAGGGTTTACGGCATGGTTCTGACACGCAGAAGGGTTCAATTACAAGAATAAGCACCAAGCCCCGGTGTCAAAAACGTGGACTCCATAGTATGTGAACTTCTAGAAGGGAACTTAGCTCACGCTTATTGCCTCACTGTCCAGCGAAGCCCACTCAATAATGCTGTGGGTTAATATATTATTACAGAGGTCGCGAAAAACCCGTCAATCGATCAACCAGCCCAGTAAAAGGCAGTAAGACAAAAATTACCAGGATATAGGAAAAAACGAAATCCTCATACGTAAGTGCAGTGCAGCCAAAAAGGACTGTCTTGTATATCCAGAATATTCAAAGACTCTTCGTGACTGACTACTCCTCTGCGACATTTTATCATTTGAAAGAAAAAGAGTACAGATTGTCTGGATATGACATGCAGCATGTATGCGGCAGCGACAGAATCAAATGTGGTGATGACAATTCTGCAGACAATCGCGAATAAGTCAGCACGACAGCAAACATCATGTTAGCATAACACCATTAAGATGCTTCAACTTACCTCAAATGGCTTGAGACACAGCTGACACAAATGATCGGGTGCCAATGGCGGCGTTACGAAAGAAGGGTTTGAGAGCTTTGGTGTCTCAATTGGCCCATACGCAATAGCCATGTGAATTGGAGGTGCAAGTTCGGGAGAGAATTCACGTCTGTACTCTTGATTTGCCCAACGTACAGTCAAGCCTAACCGTCGCCACGGTGGAGATCGCAGCATATGACAAAGAATGCGAAACCTAAAGTCGAATGCGGATTCCCGTTTCGTGCGTGGAGGGACGAAAGAAAGCCGCCGGGATTGATAAGGGTTTTGCCACGCCCATTCAAACTATAAAAAATTATAAGGTTAAATATATATATTTAACTTATAAGTTACCTGAAGGGCAGATATGTCGCTCGGAAAGCCATGAACAATCAATGCCATAATCCTTGTAAATAAGATTTACCACAGAAATTACCAAGGACCCTTTCCTGACGTTGACTTGGCT